TATATATATATATATACAGCTTTTATCATATTAATAATAAAAAATGACTATCATTATATCAGGTCTTCAGCAGACAGGTTCTCATTTTGAAAATGAAATCGATAAAAGAAAAAAAAACTAAAAAACTGCACAGGAAGCATGTGATGACACCATGGGAGGGTGCGTTGGAAGAGAAGACACTGGATGAGTGCAATTAGACATCTCTGCTTTAGCATCATAAAATAACCTGTCCTGGCAGAGCTCTCAGTCATTTTGTATGGCTCCAGAGATTCCATTTACACAGGAAATTCTGCAGGACAGGATATTTTATTAGTACTCTCTGAACCTATACTGTGTCTTGTATCCTGTAATCATTCCTTTGCCTGTAATTTACAACAACCATGGAAAACCCTGCTTGCAATACTGAGGCAATGCAGATTAACTATACAGCCTTATTTCATAAGGCAGAGGAAATAGAAAATGCAAGTACAAATGAACCTACAGGAGCCAATCAGAATTAATTTGTTATCTGAGCTTTAGTAAATTGATAACAGGTCGATTGCTATAGGTTATTGTACTTTCCACATGCTCTGTTTGCTCTCATATTGAACAGGCCTGGTTATTTCCTAAAATTGTTTTTCTACACTTTACCCTTTTTCAGGAAATAGAACCTGGGGTGCAGTCACTGGCATACTTCATAATTACTATTCCTTATGACCTTCAATGTATTACCCTATTATGATTATGCAAAGTTCAATGTATTCTAAGCTAGCTGGACAGTTATCTGTCCTGGAATGTATCTTTTGAAGCCTATGCAATATTGATAGGTTACTAGATTATTTATAAGCTTTGCGTATTTTTGACTATGTATTTGATTTGGACATACATTTCGGACACTACCTGAATGTTTAGATATCGAGCTACTTACGCCAAGACAGAGTGCGAAAATGTCGGTCTTTAACATGCTTCTTAATATTAGTATATCAATACTCATCGTATGTCTATATTTAAATGATGATATTGCAATATTTAAGAACAATTATGCCAGTGGAAATATGGTTCACTAGCATACACTTTACTTAAGCTAAAAAAGGCTGTATGAATAAATGTATGTATTAATAACCATAGATATTTATTCAAATATTGATTTTAACTTTTGGTGGTTTTAAAAACTGAAAATGAACTAAATAAAAAATATGGTTATGAAATTATTTCATTCACATCTCAATCTTTTTTTAAAAAATAAATGAAAGCCTATCAATATTACTTCGCCACTAAGGCTAACATATTCATATTCTGGTAGCACATATAAAACTCACAAGATATAATATTTGTAATTTTGATACTTGCTCAAACCAGCCATTTTTCATCAGTTTTAATGGAATGTTTCCATTGCTGAGAAATCATTAATCATAAAGAGATTTACTGAGAACCAGAAGACATAGCAGAATCTAAATGGAACAATTTGTAACATTATAAGCTGCATCTATATATAATGGAAATGTGACATGATTGCATAATTAATTGGCATTAGGCCCTTAAGTGGCAATTTTGTCTTAGCAGATGGCTTTTCCAATGTTCCTCACTTGTGTTCGGGTTTCAAACAGTATGCTGCTAAAATCAAGGCTTATTTTATTTCAGTGCATTAGTATTAACATTTTTGTAAAATAAATTACCTATTCAATTTTATAAGTTCACAGAATGTTTTATTTATTTTTTTGGACATATCATTTACAAGAAATGCTTTTTTTCCACATGACTGAGAAAAATAAGTTCATGGTGTACAAATATATTTTGAAACCCATCACTTTTTTTTAATAATTGTTATAAAGTCTCCCACAGAAACTATTTTTTTCCTTAGGAAACTACACACCAATAGTGTACTTTTGTGATCACATTTGACAGTGACTTATTTAAGTATAAAACTATGTTGGGGCCTACAGTGGCCACTGCTGTTTCAGTATTCTACAAATATAATAACCGAAATCAACTAAACCTTACTATTTCCATAAACAGTTTAATTGGCAATAAATGAAAATTAGGAAAATAAAATGTCCATCCACCAAATCAGCACCAGACAGAGGTTGAAGGTAATATATTCTGATGGATGTGGAAATGAGAGGCCACTGGAAAGGTTAGCTCTGTTAATTAAAGCAATCTTTTATCAGCCTATGTTAAAAGATGAAGAATCTTCCAATTTTCCCTATGGTGGAAATACAGCTGTTTCCAGCATGTGGTGCAGCTGAGATTATTCTCAGTCTAATATCTTACCTCTAGTCTTAGAATGTTCAAAAATCAAAGCTGTATTAGAGACATCAAACATAACAGTAGATTACAGAAGGATAGATGCCATGACCGAATACATACAATAACACATAATTGTATATGGTTTGACTTTGAAAACTGAGTCACATTTAACATTGATAGACCATCCCATAATTACACCATCACACAACCAGGTAACGTAAAAATCAGCTAAGTTAACATTTTATTACCCTTTCTTTAAAAAAAAAAATCTGATTTCATTATTTCAGGGTTAAAAATTAAAAACCATGTGCTGTTGTGTGCTTACCCTGGAGAACGCAATACATATATTTATGTATATATTCATGAACACTGGTGTCTTGTACAGTACTACCACAGAATGTTAATATTCCCTTTTATTGACAGTGCATATTTATACAGTCATAAAGATTATATATATCAGTGTACTGTACATCTCATCAGTGATACAGTTCCCACTATGGAATTAATTTCCAAGTCATAGCAAGGTTATACTCTGCATCGAACACATGCATAATTATTTAGATTAGTATACACATTTGCATGACCAAGGAAGTCTTTACAGGAGGAAGAGAAGGCACAGCTGATAATTCTCTACCAAACCGTTTATTGTGCCACCCGTAGTGAAATTAATGGGTTACAATGTACTCACAAAGATTTCCAATCGTTTTTAGGAGACTGATTTGCAATCCATGGTTAAAACAACAGAAAACAACAGAGCAGAGCACATTAACCCTATCTGGTCAGGCAAAACGAGTTTGCTAGCCCTCACCAGAGAACTGACGCTTCCAGGGGGACATTTACTGCATGTCAGAGAGAATAGAGAATTGCTATGACTGAGAGCTAAGGCAAAGGGTAATAAACGTAGTGCAGAGATTAGGCCCAAGGCAAAGATGCAGGCCACAGAGCAAGGATCACTTTTTTTTTTTTTTCACTGGGAGTCCCAAAGGATCCGAGCTGGTAGTATATTAAGGCGTTGCCTTGGTGTAGCTCTGAGCCTCCACATAATTCATCCTTAGTATCAAACTAGCACACATACACACACAAAAAAATAAAAGAAATTAAAAAAAAATCCCCCTCAAACCTCTTTCTTTTATAGCAATAATTCAAAAGCTGAAACATTGTCGCAGACAGATCAATACCAATGCCAACACAAAATAATTAAATGTAGCGATTCAGAAACTAGGAGAAAAGAAACAAGGAGCATGGAAAGGATCATTCAGCTGTAGTTTAAAGGGGAGAATACAAAACACTGCCCGTTTAACGAACCTATCAGCTGAAAGAAGAAGTTGTGCGAGTCTTTCTCATGCAAGCACCGTCAATGCACGGAAAAAGAGATGAAAGAGGCTACCTTGGCCAAGACAGCGGTTGGTCGGCGCGACTTTTGGGGCGCTGTAGCGTGCTTGTTGTACATACTCTCCTCAACTACGCGTATTCTTAAGCAATAACAACGTAATCCGTATTATCCACCCAAGAATACCCGTCACCGAAGAGAGCCACAAAGCAGCAGCCGGCTGGGCTATAAATCCATAAGCGGGGAAGGAGGAGAATCCAAACAGGTCCATAAACCAAGTCCAACAATGTCCCAATGTCTAGTCCTGAAAGAATAGCAGAGAGCCATGAAGGGTTGCAATGTAATGAAGATGTGCATCTTATACCACACATACACACACCACAAGAGAGTTACGTGCAATGTACCTTGTCTCTTCTCACGTCTTCCTCTGTACTTGCAAAATAAGCCAGTGTTGTACGCCCCCCCCAGCTCCAGGCTGTTCAATTGGTTGTCCAATGGACCTATAGATTCCTGCAACAGAATTGCATGCATACTTAAGTACAGCCGTACTGCGAGCGACTCAACAGAACACTGTGTATACACCCTCCACATTATACTACATAAAATAGTGTCATTAAACCTAGGAACTCTTTATTGCTTTCTGTATATCATTACTAGATACAATGTGCCATTTCGTCATGTAGGCATAGTTCAACTTGGCAACCTAAGATTTGATTCATGAAAATGTCTTATACTGTGTTTTACATGTCCACCGGCAGTTGTATACCATGAAAGCATCGTATAATGCTCCTTATTCACTACATTGGGTGACATCATTATGTATCTGAACATCACAATGAACGTTTTTAGGAATGTCGGGATTACTGTAGCTCTCTGCACATCTCAGAAGTGGATTATAGAATGTGTGGAGTTTTTTCTAAACACGTATCAGCTGATGGAAATGTTCTTGGGCTTGAGCTAAGATCTGATAGCAATAGTAGTGTATAGAGAGCCTTCATAGGTCTTAAGCGAGGCTTCTTTACAATGTATGCATGTCTTAACCAAACAGTAAAGAGTTCTAGATTCCTACTCTTTTATCATTCATGACTTTAATCTTTGAGCAAACCACATACAGTGTTGCTGAGAAATAATTCCTAAGCCTGGTCTATTAGATTTTTTTTATGAATAAATAATTTGCACAGCATGCAGGTCTTGATATATAACCAGTGTTAGTGAATGCATGTGCAGTATGCATGCATGTGACTTAGAGTATCTATCCATATGTGTATTTAAGATATGCAAGGTGGCCATGCCTTCATTTATAGACACATAAAACCATTTAAATAATGATATCTATTATTGCCTATAAATATATGCAACCTGCATTAGATAAGGAGAATCCACTCTGTCTAAATAATTAACTCACATAACACAACCTATACAATATAGAATACAGAATAATTTCAGTCTCACATACTGAATTGAAATTCTGCTCAAGTCATAGCATTTAGTTGACATCAAAGTTACATTCACTATACAGTGCAGAAGTGCTAATGATCACAGCAGGGTCTGTTATATACATAGCAAGATGCATTCATTATATGCTAGACGAAGATTATGTACAGCCCATAAAAAAAAGCTTGGACTTGGGAAATCAACATATACACGATACTCTATTTCCAAGCATGGACCCTGTAGTGTGATATAGTTTGCCTGCAGTGCTACAAGTATCAATTCACAGGCTGCACAGGACGGGAAGGCTACACTACCAATGAGGTTGGCACTGTTCAGCACCGGCTTGTGGACAGCTCCCTTTTTTGGTTGCTTCAGCCAAATGTTCCAACTGTTGATTGGTGAGGCACACATTCCACTTCTTTATGCAAAAGCATAACATGGGGGCTAGGAAAATAATCTCTCTGGCAATTACTGCTCCCTGAAAATTGTTCTTGACACACTAACACAATTTTGGATCAGATCCCTCTGGCTTTGTGGAGTTTCACACCTCCCGTCTTGCTCCAGAAATGGTGAAGTATGCCTTAGGGAAAGTCAGTATATCTCTTGGGCAAACGTTGTCTTATAAGTAGTGGTATGTATGATCTCAATTCTCCAGTCATATAGCAAAAACACAAAGGGCAAACCAGGCAACAGTCAACATTTTAAAAAACTAAGGCTAAAGGTAAATGAGTATATAAATAAGGCATATTTTCTATGGCTGCCCCACCTTTTCAGAGGTTTTCTGTACTTAGTAGGAGAGACTTAAGTAAACATTTTGACAAAAGGAAATAAGTCAAATTGAAGGCATATCTGCTATCCCTGAATCACTAGGCAGCACAGCATTATCTATATTTATGGTGTAATGACCACCTTCCACCCTGCTTGATATAGTGTGGTCCTTTCCTTAGCTTGTAGGAGCAGAGATAGAGTTGTATAGCCAGTCATTGCCATTTGATGTGCAGTAAGCTCGTGCTGCCTGAACATCATATCAAGGTACCATTTGGTGTTCTGCTGCTTTACTTGAAACGTGAATCCTCAAGGATGTGTTTCAAAAAAAGCGTGTGCAATGTCGTACCTCTTTTAAATCCACAAAACACAGAACAAATGGAGATGAGCTTTGTGTGTATGGTCTCATCTGCTACGGCATGGGCTCAGCAAGAGAAATGAAGGTGAAAGAAACATATTGATCTTCTTTGCTGGCACATAGTGAAGCATCCTGCAAATATATATTAGCTAAGAATATACCACTAAGATTTCATCACCAGTAACGTTTCTTACCGTGCAGAGTCCAAGCCTGTTGTGTGAGAGCTCTGGCTGACTCTAAGATGCTGCTGATCCTTAAGACTGTGTGCTGGGAGCTGATTCCCCTTATGGAAGCTGATCAGGGTGGAAGTAGCATTTCCTCGTTAATGATAACCCCGAGAGTCAGTCATCAGAAAGATATCCTGCTGAAAGTCCCCAGATATAAGCACTCCTTACAAGGCTGCTGCTGCCATACGGTCTTCAGCCAGCGCCCTCAGCTCCAGTAACCAGAGGGAATGGGGGGAAAAAAAGCAGCAATAGCGATCACATCGATCTGATCTGCACCATCTGCCTGCTGCCACTACACCCCAACCTCCACATTTGAACACGTAAAACCCTGACAGCTCCCAGCATAGGGCTGCAAAGAGTTCATTTTTTTCAGCAGCTCCTAATTGGTTCTGGGTAGCATACAGTTACACAAGCTTATGTTAACCATTCAATAGTAGATCCCGAACATGCTAATGGTTGATTAATTAAGGAAGATTGGACGTGCAAGCTTCATAGTCTCTTATTCATTATTTCCCATTGGGAAAAGACCAGTGCCTTGTGGAACTATAGGAACTTGCAGTGAAAGAGGGAGAGAGGGGGAATGTGAAAAGAGAGAGAGAGTAAGAGAGAGAGAGAGAGTAAAGGAGAGAGAGAATGCCTCTGAGTACACAGATGTGGACTCAAACCGTTTAGTAGAATAAGAAGACTGACAGTTTTACCCGAGGGCTAGTCTATGCCATCACACTTAATAGAGGATACATTTTACCAATAATAACGATAATGATATAAATGGCAATAAAATACCAATGAAATACGGTTTGATTTGCATTACAATGCCAGCCCCCACAACCTGTATACAAGCATTACCTCTCTATGCCAGTGCAGCAACATCACTAAAAGCACTGTGCAGCATATTTATCATAGATACCTTTCTCTTTTATATTTTATTCATGAACAAGTTTAAGACACGTTTTGTTTCTTCAATTCCACGTCCTTAGAAATACTTTCACATTTGTTCCATTGCAGATGTTTTTTTTCAGATACACTATGGGAAATTGGAGGGGGGGGGGGATTAATTAGGGACAATTACTAATGGTTGGTGGTACATAACAGATATCAATAAAGATTATATTGCATCGTTGATCAAGGTGTGTGCTAGACGCTCCAGGCATGGTCATTGCAGTGGGATCGGCGCTGTCCACCTCTGTGGTGCTGAACCTTCCAAAGCCTCACACCCATCACAGAAACTTTGCACTTTGTAAGCTTGCACTTGGGCATAAACAAGGCGATGAAGTTCAATGAATATAAAAGGACATATCGTTTAGTTTCCTTTCACTTCAGAGCGTTTAGACACGCCAGTTATGACAACACACTCGTGAATTTAGTTTGATTAAGTTCTGATTGATTAATGCATTAATTATGTTTCTAAGAATGTTCCAACTCTCCCCGGAATAAACCCAGCACTTTCTTGAGTATTAGCAATCTGGTAACAGAACCTGAGGAAAAATCTAACAATTTATCAGATCTTTTGTTTCAATACCCAGTAATTAAGCTTCTTTGCTTTTACCTACTGTATAGTGCACATTTCTGGGCGACTGGAAGAAAGAGCCACGTTACCGAGTAATCTCATGTGTGATTTGTGCAAGACTATTGCCCTCTTCAGGCCAGAACTGTATCAAATATGGCAAAATCATCACCATATCATAAATAAACATAAGAACGAAAATAAATGAATAAAATAGGCCCATGAATACACATATACAGTATGTGTCCCTGGTGTGTAATATGTACGTATATGTTTCATATACCTATTACATGAAAATATAGTTTAATAATATTACAGTTATTTCAGTAAGCTGTTACATAGTAGAGCTGATGAATACGATTATGTTTACATCATTTTGAAGTAGTGCTCTGTCCAATATTAGGAACATTTGTGGTAAGAGGTTCATATATTATGCTGGAAATAGTCATTTAAACCTGCACTCATAGATGTCAGAATTCTGCATTGAGGGCATGGTCAGGAAGTGCGTGGGTCTCCTACTCCTATCCATTCTAAATCAGACTTCTTTTTTCACTCAACCCCCTTTTTTCTTCATATATGGCTGACCCTCACCACTCATTCATGACTCCTTGTTCTTTCAGATACTACTCATCTGCTTTCTTCTCTCCCTTATACTGCAATCTATTTTTTATTCTTATAATTTTCCATTGCCCCCTCTCTTTCTTCTCTCTCTCCTACCTCTCTCTCATCCATATCTCTCCCTCACTCCCCCTTCTCTTTCGCTTTGAATGCCCCTTTTCTCTCTCACGCTCTCTTCCTCTGTTCCCATGTCCCTCATTCACCCTCTTTCTTTTTCTCTCTGCCTCCCCTTTTCTCTTTCGCTCTCCCCGCACCCATGTCTCTTCCTCACCTCCATACCCTCCCATTCTCTCTGTCTCCCCCCTTTCTCCTTCTCTTACTCTTTCATACCTCATGCCCCTCTCTCTCTCTCTCTCCCCCCCCTCTCTCCCCCCTCTCTCCCCCCTCTCTCCCCCCTCTCTCCCCCCTCTCTCCCCCCTCTCTCCCCCCTCTCTCCCCCCTCTCTCCCCCCTCTCTCCCCCCTCTCTCCCCCCTCTCTCCCCCCTCTCTCCCCCCTCTCTCCCCCCTCTCTCCCCCCTCTCTCCCCCCTCTCTCCCCCCTCTCTCCCC